AAGAAAGAAAGAAAGAAAGAAAGAAAGAAAGAAAGAAAGAAAGAAAGAAAGAAAGAAAGGAAAGAAAGAAAGAAAGAAAGAAAAGAAAAGAAAAGAAAAGAAAAGAAAGAAAAGAAAAGAAAAGAAAAGAAAAGAAGAAAAGTAAAGAAAAAAGAAAAGAAAAGAAAGGAGAGAGGGAGGAAGGAAAGAAAGAAGGATGGAAAAGAGGTAGGGAGGGAAAGAGAAATTATATCTAAATAATAAAGATTGATCATATAGGTTGCTCTGTGTGTGTATGTATGTGTGTGTGTGTGTCCACCTGTATGTGTATAGGTATACAGTCATGTATAAATAATAAATAACACGTAAATAAATATTTTTATTCAAAAAGACAGAAATTCAAAAAATTTAAAAGGTACAGGCAGATTAATGGATTAAAGCACAAAGAAATAATTTTGAAAACAGATAATGTAAACAATTTAAAAATAAACTCGTTATCTTATTCCCACAGACTAATAAAAAATAAACCCATGATAAGATCAAATTGTCATAAGTTACAGACAAAGAGAGAATTTTGAAGGTAGCAAGAAAAAAGTGACTTTTCACATACAATGGAAATTTTTATGAGATTATCAGAAGATTTTTCTAGAAAAACCTTGCAGGTAAGAAGCAAATGTGATGGTCTATTCAAAGTACCAAAAGAAAAAAGACAGCCAACCAATAATAATATATCCAGCAAAACTTTCTTTCAAAAATAAAGGAGAGATAAGGACTTTACCAGATAAACAAAAGCTGAAGGAGTTTATTATCATTAGACCTGACTTACGAGAAATGCTAAAGGGGGTTTTTCAATTTAAAGCAAAACAAAACAAAAAACCCTAAGAAGCAACTTGATAGCATAAGAAAGTATGAAACATATTATTAAAGGTAAATAAATAGGAAAATACAGAAAATTATATTACTTTAATAGTGGTGGGTAAATAACTTTTAATTCTAGTATGAAAGTCAATGACAAATATAACAATAGCCAAAAATATGATAAAAGATACATAATCTGAATAGTTATAAATTGTGACAACCATAATATAAAATATTTGTATGGTAGGGAGAAGTCAAAGTATAGACTTTTTGTATGCAATTAAACTTTGTTATTATCAGCTTCAAGTTGGCTTAATTATAAAATATTTTGTTAGTCCCAAGGGTAACCAAGACAAAATACCTGTAGAAGTTACACAAAAGGAAAAGCTAAAGGAAACGAAATATACTAATACAAACAAATTTTCACAAAACACAAAAGAAGACAGCAAGAGAAGAAAAAACAGACAAAAGAACTACAAGACTAATGGAGGGAGGCCAAGGCAGGAGGATCGCTAAGGCCAGAAGCTCATGGCTAGCCTGTGCAACATAGCAAGACACTATTTCCACAAAAAAATTGAAATTTAGCTGGGCATGGTGGTGTACATTTGTAGTCCCAGCTACTCGAGAGGCAGAGGTGGGAGGATCTCTTGATCCCAGGAGTTAGAAGCTGCAATGAGCTTTGATCATGCCACTGCACTTGAGCCTGTGCAACAAAGCAAGACCAAAAAGAAAAGGAAAGTGGAGGGGAGGGAAGGAGAGGGGAGGGGGAGAGGGAGGGTGGAGGGAGAGAGGGAGGGGGAGGGGAAGGAGATGGGGAAGGGAAGGGAAGGAGAAAAAGAGAAAGAAAAGAAACGAAGAGGGAAGGGAAAGGAAAAGAGAAAAGGAAAAGAAAGGAGAGGAGAGGAGAAAGGGGAAAGGGGAAAGGGAAGTGGAGGAGAGAAAGAGAAAGAAAAGAAAAGGGAAGGGAAAGGGAAAAGGAAAAGGAAAGGAGAAAGAGCAAAAAGGTAAGGGGAAAGGGAAAGAGAAAAAGAGAAAGAAGAGAGAGAGAGGAAAGAAAGAAAGAAAGAGAGAAAGAGAGAAAGAAAAAAAGAGGGAGGGAGGGAGGGAAGGAAGGAAGGAAGGAAGGAAGGAA